GCCTGGAAGAGTGGAAGCTGGAGGGACAGGGTGGCGGGGGCAGCTATGTGACCTCTGAGTGGCAAACACGGAAAGGTGCGTCCACAGAGAGCACCGTCCTAGCTTGGCGTCATATTGTTTCTGTTCCTGTTGAGCAGCCATCCCAAGTTCAAAGTAAAAAGGCGATTCTGAAATGAACAACCCCGGGAGGCACTCACAGTCCCTGGCCAGTGAACTAAGCTGTCTGCTGACAGAAACTCCCAGCCTGACAAGATGAAACTGGAGTGGAGATCAGTTCTTTCCTTTTCTGCCCTGGATCAAACCCCACGCCAAGCCAGCTCTCGGATTGTTCTGGCCGGTGGGGTTCCACAGCAGAGCGAGAAGATCAATGAAATGAGTGGCCTCCACGAACGGAGCCCTCCGTCGGGCGGGGTGAGCGTGGAAATGAACAGGCTTTGGTCACTGCCTATTAGATCACCTCGCACAAAACCACCGCGGTGGGCCGGGACCTCCCGCACGGCGCTGGCACCTCAGAAAAACGGGCTTGACCGGCAGATTTAAAATTAAAAAGCCAAGTTGCATCCCCAAATGGTCTTCGTGAGAATCAAGCCCACCAGAGTTCTAAAAGGAAAGTCAAGCTCTAGGGCTTTAAAGATTGCCCACCTGCCCTGTGGCTGTCAAAACACTGTAACTATCTTTCCAGACATCTGTGTCTGTGCTGACCTCCCCCGCCCCCACCTGGGGCTGTGGTCCCACAAAGGAGCCCGAGCATGGCTGGTCACCTTCCCTCCACACTGCGCACCCAGGTACTACCGGGGTCTGGATTATAACTGTACCTCCTAATGTTACTGCTGTTATCGTAACAATCAAGGGGAGGATGGAGGGGGTGGGGCTGGAGCCGGAGGAGACAGACCTCTGTTTATCCACAAGCTTTGTTTTATCTCAACTCTCAACAGACCACACAACCAAGGCAAAAGCCGATGACAGAAAGGCTCTGCCTACCCTGCGTGCTCAGACAATCACCCCAGGGGCCCATCCCTGCACCTCTGCCATGTCTTACAACACCTCACCCCATGGCCCGGCTCCGAGCCCCAGGGCCCTGGCTCCTTCTGTCCTGTAGAAACTGCCCGAGAAGCCGCCCTCCATCTGTACTCCAGACAGAGCCAAATCCCGTTCAAGAGCCCACTACCTCATTGACCCAAAAACACCTCCAGACAAACCACTACCTTTCTACCAGGGGCCCCAAAACTGCATCGTCCACACCTTGCAGAGCCTGGCACGTAGTAGGTGCTCAATAAATCATCACTAAATGAATGAACGAGAGACATGCTGGCTTCTCCCAAAGCAGTTGGCCCACCCAGCTTTACACCTGCCAGAGGGAGGTACGAGTGAACCTAGCTGGGAGGGCAGCATGCCTTCCAGCCAGGGGTCAGCCAGAAAGGCCCAGGCCCCGTCCCGGCGCTCGGGCTGCGGCGGGGGGGGGGAGAGAGAAGCCCCTGTCCTCACCTACTTTCCAGCCAGCTGCGGCAGATCCAGAGAGGTGTTTCCAAGCCAGGCGCCGGCCCGGCAACCTCTGTGGGCACACCACCTGCCCACAGCATTCTGCCTTGGCGTCCTGCTCTGTTTGGACAAGTTACGCTCACCGAGTGTTCAACAATGCTCTTACACACCCCAGGGCTCTTGTTGTGTTATGAAAACAAAACAATGTACGCTAAGGGAAAAAAGCTGGGGTGGGGGGGCAGGAGTGAGTGGGGAGCAAGCAAGCCACATACAAATCTCTTTCTGGTCTCCATCCTAAAGGGGGCCCCTTAGCAGCACGGGTTGGGGCACTGGCCCATGTCATCAGAACAATGACATCATCAAGGGGCGGGGGGGGGGGACTCAGAAACCCAGAGATGAGTAAATGGAAACAGTGTTTTTACACCCAGGACAATATACCACCTACTTCTGACACCGCATGGGCCTGTGGGAGCGTGGGCAAGCCCTCTTTCTGGGGGAAGCTTCTGGGTGACCGGTGGGCCCCATCACCCCTGTCCCCCAGGGCAGAGCACAGCTGTACCAGGGGAGCTCTGAAGCCGGTTTCCGCTCCACTCCTCACTAGTGCCCCAGAAACATAGTCTCAGAAAGTAAGGAATTCCTGGGGGTTGTGGGGGTGGACACGGGACTGGGCTCTGTGGCCGGAAAAATCAAGGCAGCCTCGACTCCCCACCTGCGCCATGCCAGGCACCCACGTTAGGGGAAGGCAAGGTTGGGGTGGAAAGCTGCGGGCATGAGCAAATTCTTACCTACTACCCCCGACCAAAAAAATAAGAGTTTTTTTTTCTTTTGCAAGTTAAAACTGAGCTAATGACACTGGGTGGGGCTCAGTGTTGAGGACCTCGAGCAGCCAAACCAAAATCCACTTCCAGCCAAGAGCTGCTTGGCCTCACCATTTGGGGAAGGAAGCTGAAAAAGTCATGAAAGATTCTTTAGTGAACCAGGAAATAAGGCTGCAGTTAGCATTTCAACTGAAGGTGACCCTTCTGGTCAAATATTTTTTTAAATAATAAAAATAACAAAGTTCTCAAACAGCCCCTTTCTTAAAGAAAATGGCCTAAAAGTTCTCGTGGGAGTGGAAGGGAAGGAGGAGGGAGAAAACCCAAAGAAACAACAACCAAAAAAACCCCCAGGGCTGGCCTCCTCTTTGCCACTACCTTTCGCGAACAACTTTTTTCTGGAGTTCTTATAAGAGGAATGATGCAATTTCCTGTCTTATCCCAATATTTCCTGTTCGCTTACAAGGTGAAAGTTATCATTCTGTTTTAAACAACTGTCCTCAACTCCACAGAAAGTTTCTTTTTCCATCCAGTGCCCCACTCCCAGCACAAAATCTCCCCACCTTAGAATATAAACATTATCATGTTCTACACCTTTAAAGAACTGGCTTCATTAAAAAGGTTCTCATCTCTGTGTGGCAGACAGAATTCCAGATCGCAGCTTCCCCATCCCAGATGCGCAAGGACACCCCATGGGGAGACATGAAGGGGCCGGGGGGAGCCCAGTGTGTTTGGGTAGAACCGTCGCTGACAAAGTCAATGTTGCTTTCTTGGTGTGTTATAGCCACTAAATTGAGAACTGTGCCTCAGCAGTGAATAGTATCTTCCCGCTGAAAATAGCCCAGAGAGGAAGCCTCTCTGTGACAGTAGGCACCCGGCCAGATTCTGGGCTAGCCATTCAATCCCGAGCAAGGAAGATGGTAGGACCAGTGGTGACCTCCCAGTGGCCGCGTCGTACAGTAACCTTTCACGAGGCTCCAGCAAAGGGAGGGCTCCCAGGCAAGTCACCGGCCTCCCTCTGCAGCCCTATAACCTCAAGCAGGGATGTCACACAGACCAGGGACCCTGGCATGAGAGCCAGGGGAGGGGTCTGGATCACCAAGAAGGGGCAGGGGGCGGGGGGGCCCCAGGCTTTGGGGGACAGCCCCTGCATCGTGCTTGGTTTCCAATCCCCAGGCTGGCCATGACCTGGGGGGAAAGAAGTATCTGGGGCAGACAGTGAACAAGTGCACTCACTTCCCCTGCAGACAGGTCAGGCTTGGAAAGAACCACAGGGAACTTTCCTGCCTCTCATTTCTGCAACCCACATGGAAAAGGGAACGTCAAAAAAAAAAAAAAATCAACACGGAGAAGTGCCTGCTTCTCCCCCACTTCTTCAGGGAGTTAAGCGTCAGAGAAGACCGGCTCCCGGCCCATCAAAGGGAGCCCCCCAACCCAGGAGACCTCAGAGGTGCTTTGGGAACGAGTGTCTGTCAAACAGTAGCTCCCAGGCACCGAACACAAGTCTCTCCATTTTTATTCTCTGGAATCACTGTCCTTGATTATCCAAATTTCTGCACACATTTAAAAGCTACCACAGGTCACGACCTTTTAAAAATTGTGGTAAAATACCCACAACATAAAATTTACCACTGGTGATACTGAGTGCACTCACACAGCTATGTAACCATCACCAGTTCGTACGTGGTTCCAGAACACTGTTATCACCCCAAAACGAAACTCTGTCTTGCGGGTCATTTTTACGGTGTCATTAACAACAGCAAAATTAACTGGAAGAAGGCGCAAAGTCAATCAAGCAAAAATCTCATTTGAGAAGAGGTTGTTCATTCAGCGAGATCCTCAAATTCTTCCCCAGAGAGAATACACAGAATCACAGGACACCTGCCACGGAATCACAGGACATGTTCGCGGCCACCAAGAGAAGCCACCAGATGACAGTCCCCGCAGGAACACAGACCCCTCTGCCCCTCCCACCAGGGGTTCCTCAACTTGTCAGCACACTTGCAATCACCTGGGGAGCTTCACAAAATACTGATGCCGGGCCCCCACCCTCACACTCTGATTCACAAGATCCCAGGGTCTCTAACGTGCAGGCAAGTCTGGGCCCACCACCCTAGGCCTCGCCTCCCCCCACCTGCTCTGAAGTTGCCACCACGGGTTCCAAGCCCAGTGGACAGCATCAGCACGGCGGATCAGTGCGCACTGGCCAAGAGCAGGATTTGGGGACAGTAACAGCAACAATAAAGATGCAAAGGAAGCCGAACTTGATGGCACTTCTTCCCTTTCCACTGTCCTATTGGCTCGGAGCTTGCCAGAGAGGCCCCACAGGTCCAAAGTCCACCCATCTACATACAGCCAGGCTCTGCTAAGGAAAGGTCCAAGGGGGGCAGTGAGATTTAATGTGCTAGACCGTAGCCAGAAGCGACCCTTGAAACGGGCCCTCACCTGGCCCCCTACCCCTTGGCTCGGAGGCCCTGTTCTGCCTCAGTGACAGGATGCAGGAGACAGAAGCCCATCTAGTCTGGCCAGGAAAGCAGCCCAGATTTGCTCCAGAGAGCTTTAAGTGCTGTCTCCCTGCACTTAACCCCTGCCTGACTACCTCATTCTTTCCAGGACAAAGGGGATTTCATGAGTGAGCCCTCATCCAGGGCTGAGAGCATGGCCTCGAGCATTGCAGAAGCCTGAGCTGCCGTCCAGGACTGGTCTTCACGGGGGAGTGGGTGTGCACCAGGTGAGCTGGCCCAGGCCCCGAGTCATTACACTGGCATTTAGGGAGCTGTGGGCTGGGTCCCCAGAGATCCAGACTGTCTGCATCTGGGGGGTAAGGGAGTGGGTAGGTAAGGAGCTCACTCATGGTCACATGCGCTGCTGCATCTGACTCCCCCCAGAGCCCGTGCTCTTGGCAGCTCGGGAGAGCTCAATCCTCTTCCTCCTCCTCCTCCTCCTCCGCCTCCACCACCACCACCACCACCCCTGGCATCAGAGACCTCAGTGAAACCACAAGCTGTTTGTTCCCAGGCACAGGAAGGAGATCTGAAAAACACAGCAACAGGCACCCAGGTCCAGTTATTCCCAGTGTGCCATCACCATTCCAAGCCAGACAGTAAGTAATTGTTCACATGGAGCTGATGAACTTTGCTTAAAAACAAGATGGAGCAATCTTTCCTAAGCTACTTGGTTTGAGCCTAAGTTGACCATGAACTGAACCAGAGCACATTTCCTGATTATAGAGGTAATTTTGAGGACTTCTTTCTCCGTAGCTATCACAGATGCCAGCAAGGACCAAAGAGAAGGAAGAGACAAGTCCCAGGAGTGCACGCTGACCTAAGGACACTGCCCATCACCCAGAAGTGGGAACCGGAAGGTATACATGGTTCTTAAGACCCTCCCTTGGACTGATGGAACAGTGTCTCTCCAGCAAGCATGACTGCACAGCCAAGAGTTGGGGCTCCCTCAACTGCCCTCCCAACCCCTCAAGACACATCGGTATCTACGTCACCCCTGCCCCCCACTTCCTTCCCTGAATTCCATGGTGGCATCTCTCCTGAAGTTTATAAATAAACTACAAACTGCTGGCCTCCAATCCCTGCCCCAACCCCGGGAGGGATGTACGGCCAGCTCCAGACATTAATATGTACAGGGAGGAGGACCCAGAACTCGCAGGCGAGAGAGACGGTGTTCCTCCAACCCACCCAAACCAGGACAGCAGATGAACTAAATGAAAGCCCCACCAGGAACTCCAGATGGAGGCTGCAAAGATGGCAGCTTCTAGCACGTGCTTTTGATTACCAGCGATAAGGTGGAAGCTCTGCGAGCGAGACGCTCCCGCTTCCACCACCCAGGCGAACCTGGAAGCTTCCCCTCCGCATCAGACCTCTCCAGGGTGGGTCTTCCCGGGCCAGGACACGCTCGAGGGGCAAGGGCCTACTCTGGAGTTGCATGCCTTTCAAAAGCCACTGCACACACACAGCTGAACTCGGAGCTGCCAAACCAGAGTCCAGAACCCATCCACAAACACGCCCCCACCCCCGAAGCGCATATCCTCGTGGGAAAGCTGCCCCACTGTCCACCTACCCCAGGTGGGCATCAAGGAACCCAGGCCTATCCCACACCTTGCCTGGGGGCCCCTGCCTGCTCATGCGTCTGGGCACGGGACCGTCTATCTGTACGTCTGCAGCGCACGCGCGTGCACGCACACAAAACCATGCCCACCAAGCCATCCATCTGTCTCAGAGAGCCGGCTGTCAGAAATGAAAGTACAATCTCCTGGAAGCAAGTCCCAGCCTTCTAAAAATGTGCCGTTTTCCCAGACTGAGGAAACTTGCAGGGGTGGGGTATGTCTCTGTAAGTCCCGAAGGCCCGGGCCCACCGCCTCCCTGGCCAGACCCAAGCTGCAAGGCTGGATTTCAAATGCAGCCAGCGGGCCTACTCCCAGGGCTCCCACCCACCCGCTCCCCTTCCCTGCAGGAGAGGGAAGGGCCAGCCTCGGAGTCACCCCGGCAGTTCAGGAGGGGAATGCCTTGGAGCACACCCCCACCCCCACCTCTGAGGCACCACATTTTCACATTTGGCTGTTTTCTCTTTCCCTTCTTCCCTTGCCAAGAGAATCAAGCCCTGGCTCCCGCTCCCGACCTCCCTCCCACCCTAAACTGAGCCCCATTCATTAAGCCCGCTCTCAGCCAGGGCAGGACAGGAAGGAAAACAGCACACAGGGCCTGTGAAAGAGACACTGAGAGAGGTTATTCCAAGGGGGAGGGGGGGGCAGATCCTTGTGGGCGCTTTCACCGCTCCCCACCTTGATGCCCACTTGCCCCGCCTTCCTGAAGCAGGCTCCCACCCTCCGGCCTCTGCTAACCCTTTCCCCTGGGCAGCCTCGTCCCACTCGGCCACAGGCCCTGCCCCATTCAGCCAGGCTGCCACCACAGCCCCCACCAGCCTCATCCTCCAAGACAGACACACCCAGGCCACCTCCCCTCCCCCCATGGAAAGATCAACTCGGGAAGGAGGAGGTTTGGGCTCGCTCCATTTGCAAAACCCTCGCCCTGGACCGGGGCCATTAAATCGTCTTTTTAGGGGGCACTCTCACTCCAAAGGGTGCAGCCCCGGGCTTTCTCTGTGCCCATCACCTCCCCTCTCCGGACACCCCCAAACCACTGGGCACCAACCCAGAAATCAAGTTTCTTCAGTTTCCCCCCACAGCACATTATTAATAAACTGCTCCAACTCTGAACAGAAAGAAGAAAGAGCTCAAACTTTGAAGCCTTGGGAATTAGTAAATTAAGAGCTAAAATTCAAAACAAATGCTCTTTCATGTGGAGGCCCCCTGGTCTTTTTCCTTTTGCAGTTTTGTTAAACCATTCGATCCCTTCAGACACCACCACTCCTCCCTAGCAGCTCCTTAGTAATCTAAATGGTTGCAATTACCTTAGAGGGTAGGGATGGCAGGGGAGCGGTTAATCATTGTTTTATACAGACACACCCCCCCCTCCCCGTTTCTTTCTAGGACTGGGGGAGCTTCGGGAAAGCAAAGTCAAGCGCCCACCCATCTCCCATGGGGCTGCCTGGGGCATGCTGCCGTTTGGCTCTCAGGCCAAGGGAGGAGATGCTCGGCCTGGTGTTGTCACTTCCCCCAGCAGAGGAGACAGACAAGATGTTATCAGTAAGACAACCCTTCCGAAAAGCCCCCCCCTTTCAAAAGCTACCACTTCCCTTGCTTATTTCATGTGGTTCGAAGGGGCTGGGGCTCCTCCCTACACATTCAGGATTTAAAAAATAAACCCATCTAACAACATCCTGAGTGTGTTCTTTTGCCCAGACCCTCTCCTCTTCTTGGCCTTCTTTCTTTCAGGAACTTTCTCAGCCTTAGAAAGCAGAAAAGACGCAGTTCACAAGTTCTCCACCGCTGCGGTCCAGCCCCGTCCTCACACCCGAAGCCCCCGCCCCTCTCTGGGCCCCCTCCGCTTCCTGCTCACTCCTCATTAGGAGCTTTGTGTAAACAATACCCTCCCGTCGCAGACAACAGTAGGAGTATATATTGTACTGAAATAAAAACAAACAAGGGTCTTCCTAAAGGCGTCCTCCGCAAGCTCAGTTCCTGGAGGAGAGCCTGGGAGGGGCTGACCGGGATGAGCTGAGCATGACCGTGGCTTGGAGGCATCAGAGGTCACCTCACAGAAGAGGGTACCTCGCAGTCCCCGCTGGAGACAAATTTTACTGCTTCCAGCCGAGCTGCCATGATCCTATGCCAATGTCCCCAAGCAAGAAAAAACAAATGCACGCAACTCTGTGGAATTTCTCCCCCACCACCCTCCCCCAGTCTACTTTGCCTCCTGCTTTAGCCAGCTCTCAGAAAATCTAGTGACAGCCATACCGGGGTGGGAAAATCAGGTGGAAATCGATGTCTTCTAAGAAAAGAGGAAAATGCTTCCCACTTATATTGCTAATGAGTTTCTCCAAGTTTATGACTCTCTTCTCCTGCCCCTCAGGGACAGTGATGCTCGGGCTCCCCAACGCCCCTCCCTTAATCCCATAACCCTCCAGCACTGGTATTCCAGGCCCTCAAGCACAAACATCAGCCCTGAGGAAGAAAACCTTCCCTCCGGGGTAGCCCTACGAAGTGTCTAGGGTCTGCAGTGCCTCCATCCTGTGGCTCCCGTGCCCAGACAATGCGCTAAGCTAGCCTGGGAAGGAAAACTTGCAAAGAAGCATCAAGGACGTCTATGCAGAATTCCCACCCTACACTTGGGATCTGCTTTCAAGTTCCCAAAAGGTGGATCCATCCCCTTCAAGGCACTCGATGCACTAAGGACAAGTGCAAAAAAGTGTTTAAACCCATCAACTAACGGACACCCAAGTCTGCAACTGCAAGCCCCTCGAGCCAGTAGCTACTTTCACAATAACCAGGAAACAGCACCCCGCCAGTCCGCAGCTGGCCCCCACTTCCTCATCCACGGAGCAGGCCCAGCGTCCTGATGCGTAGGGGACCGCAGAATGACCAGCTCAGGGGCCTGAGTCGCCACGGATGCATCCAGTTTAAGCACATAAAAGTGAGAATTAATCCCAGACCAGCTGGGGCGGCAGAAGGCCACCCCCATTCCTCCAGTGTCCAGTCATTTCAAGAGGTCTTGAAACTGCCAGGAAAAGAAGAGAAAATGTCTCACCTGAAAGCCCCCCAGGGGCCAGATAATTCGTTCCCCCTGTTTCAGCGGAGGAAGGCACAGCATCTGGACAGTCTGCTGTGGATTTGAAAAGGAGAGAGAAATAAATAAATACACAAATAAATAAATAAAAACACCAAGATTAATTTTTAAGCACATTCTAAACAGCATTAAAGAGAAACCACACATTCCAAACAGCTGACTCCCGCCGCGATGCTCATTATTAATGGTCTGCTCAGGCTTTGCTGCCCATCATAAGACAGACCGCAGCACCTTGTCACCCGTCCGGGCTCTGGACAGCCAGTTAATCATTAGTCAAGTCAGGCTTGATCACAGACTGGCTGGAATTTCTTTTATTGCAAATCCCCCATTGAGGAAACCAGGTAGTTCCCAAGGTGAAAGGACGCCTGGGTTCTTTTCTCAACCCCGTTACTGTCTGCCTACCAACCATCCCAGAGAAGATCAAGGGTGAAGCCTCCTTGCTCAGATCCCGTGGCCTCTCTGCCACTCCCATAGACCAGTCTCTCCCTCATCTTGTGAAAGACAGACTTCCCAGTTCCTTTAGGACTTCTCAAGACTTCCCTTGGGCTGAATGAAGGGCCTTCTTTTTTTTTTTTTTTTTAGATCTTATCTGAGAGAGAGTGGAAACACGAGTGTGGGGAGGGGCAGATGGAGAAGCAGGCTCCCCCCACCCCACCGCTGCGCAGGGAGCCCAATGTGGGGCTCCATCCCAGGACCCCGGGATCATGACCTGAGCCCAAGGCAGACACTTAACCGACTGAGCCACCCAGGCACCCCTGCTTTTTCCTTTTTAATTGACGTACAAGTATGGCAAAGCGTACAAATCTCAAGAACAACCCGGTGAATCCTACTCGTGTACCACACCTGCGTAAAGCCACCACCAGATCAGGACAGAGAGAACATTCTCATGAAGGCTCCCAGCCGGAGGGGAAATGTTCTCCCTCCTTCCAAGCTTGGTCCAAACTCCTCATCTCTGGAAACCTTCCCGGGCAGCCCCAGACCTGCAAGGCTCCCTGCCCTCGGTTCCCATAAAATCTTTCTGGCACCCAGCACTTGGAGTTCCCTTCTGCTGTCTTCGCTGATGTCGTACCTTCAGATCCCGTCTGCCCTAGCTAGACTAGAAGCTTCTCTTCAACATCTCTGTCACCCTCAGGTACTCAGAATGGTGACCTAAATGTTAACGAGGATAATGACCATTCGGGCTGAAAAATAGACTCGACAACCTCCCTCCAAGCAACCAAACCAAAAAATAATGCCTCCGAACCACAACTAATTAGTCCCATGAAACAAAAACACACAAGACCCTTAAGCTCCGTCATGCACTATCGCCAATGCCAAACTTCCAGAGCCATAGAGAAAGGCCGGGCTTGGGAAAGGGGCTTCCCGGCTCCGCCCCAGCACACTAGGTCAGATGGTGCAATTCCAGCCCCCCAAGCACCCCAGGTCACCAGCAGGATGTCCCTGGGGTCCTACCAGTTTCCCACTCGATCCACTTGGCCACACTGGCAGATAGGAACTCAAATGCACGGGCAGCCCAGAGGCAAGTAGCCCATCAGCAGTCTCCATCTACCCGCCCCCCGCCAAAAAAGAGGTGGGGGGCTGAGCATGGCCTACACGGGACCCCAAAACCGCCTCTGGGTTTCTGCCACCGGTTCCTCCAGCTACTAATCCCAGGGACCGCCCCCCTTCCCCACATTCCCTGGCATTCTCTCTCAGGCTGGAAGAACAACTTTTCAAGAATTCTCACCGGGGGAGGGGGGAGCGCAGGGGCAGCAGCGGTGGCCGGGGAGAGAGAAAAGACTGTGTGTAATCTCATTTTATCAGGGTAAAGTGTAATTCCTAACAGGAATATACACTTTTACAGGATACACTTAATCAAATGCAAAACAATAGGGGGAGCAGGAAATGGAGTCGCTTGTTAACTGGTGTAGACCCTGCACTTTCTAAACTACTTTGATGGCCTCCACCATGTTCTAGAGATAGGCTTTACCTACCCACAAGCGGAAGACACCCCCAGGTTAAACATGATGACTGATCCACGGCCACGGCCCCCCGCCTTCCTCCAGCTTCAGCTGGCTGAATCCCAGGGGCGAAGTGTGTGTGTGTTTCAAAGGAAGGACCCAGCATCTCGGGGCAGAGCTGGGACCACATTCAGCCCGGCTCAGATCAAAGGTAAGCCAGCTCCTCATCGGCAACCACAAGCGTTTTTATGAAATGGTGCTCTGCCCTTCTGCAGAGCCTTTGATCTCAGGAGGGATTTACAAACATTAATTAGGCCTCCCTACCACCCCTGTGAAGTAGCAAAATATACCTGTTCGACCCGCACCCGGGCAAACTGAGGCGTCACTGACAGCCCAAGGGGCCGCCCAGTGAGCTGGGCCATGCCCAAGAGTTCGGTGCTCATCTCGCCCATCCCACAGCTCTCCCTCCCCCAGGCATCCCCAGTCCATAGTCAGGCCCAGACAGTCCCAGCATCCAGACTGGCCTCCAGCTACCACCAGGCTCGTAAAGGTCAAAGAGGCCACACCTCCATCCCTCACGCACTAAAAAGCTCCAGCGAGCTAGACCTCCAAAGTTAGCGTCTCAGCCTCCGCCTTGTGTCATTGGCTCTCCAGAGCCCAGGCTGCACACACACAGAAGTTCTAGGCCATTCCTGGCTCTCATCCATCGTTAAACATTACCAAGCGCCCAGTAAGTGCTGGGTTCTCTGGAAGGAAAACAGTCCTTCAAAGACACAAACCTGGGGACCAGCCAAGGAATGAGCTGTTCAGAGGGGGTACAAGGTGAGGGAGCTGGGGATCCCACTTCTCTTACCAAGAAAGAAATGGTTCCAGGAGAGCCTGGATGTTCTGACAACTTAGTTCTGAGCTTCTTAAGTGGCACCAGGGCCAGAGGAACCCCATCCCCGCTCCCCCAACCACAGCCTTACCCTCAATGTCCCAGCTCTGGCCCCAACCACAACTCAGACGAACCCTGGGTACAGCACAATCCACCGCATTGGAATCATTCACATTTTTAGGCAGGCACATCATCAGGCCCGTAGAATGAATGAACGAACCAATTAATGAGCAAATGAATGAATCATCTAACTCTTTTAACTCTTTGATCATCTGGACTTAAAGAGGTTCAGAAAAGTTAAGAGGCGTGAGTTAAGAGGTAAAAACAGGGCTAGATCTCAGACTTCTCAACTACGCCTCGGAGGCTTGATCCACCAAATGGGTACTGATCACCTGGGTCCCCAGCCTACTCAAGTAGTGTCTCCAGCAACACCCCTCCCACCGCCAGCCATTCAAGCCGTCTACACCATCAGATACAGAGGACACAGGGAGCAGAGCCCACAGAGCAGTCCCCTCAGTATCCATACACCGACTTCTACTTTGAAACAGCATGTCCTTATCCCTTGTGGGAGGGGAAGGAGTCTTCTTGACTTCGAATAGCCCCAAGTCCCAGCTGCCACCCTGCCCCTAGGTTCAGTTATGTCTAACTCTTTCCTGGAAGTTCCTGCTGGTTTGGGACCAGCCAGCACCCAGGTCTACAAAGCTCAGGCCCTACCAGAGGCTACCGTGGGATGGCTTGAACCACAGCAAAATGAGAGCTCCCAGCTTTAAGCCCCGGAGTTCCTCCAAAGGCTACAGAGGTACCAGGCCCCAGGTCCCTTCCCACCACCTCTTCCAGAGCTGGAGACTTCCCAGAAGGAATTCCCTGAGTTGTGCGACTGGTTAAGATTTTAACAGTTGTCCACTGTAAAACCTTGCGACTGGTTCTCACCTAGTTACCCAAGACCAAAAATCCAGCCTAGGGCTCAGACGCTTAAGAACACAAGCAGCTGATCTCAATTCCCCAGCCCAGTACTCTCCTTCCATATGGAAGGTGAAGACGAAAACCTGGGGCAGCATCCCACCTGTGTGTGTAACCTCAAAGCCCCAGCCCCTGCCCTGTCCCCAGCCCCACCATACCCAGACCTGGCTAGCCGCCAGGGTGTGAGGACAGTTCTTCCATGGGGGGACTTCGCCTGTTACCACCTCCTGTCCCTACACAACAGGGCCTTTTTACACTCCTCTTCTTTCTTTTGTTTTGTTTTAAACAAAACGTTTTGGGTGAGTAACCAGCTGTTTGAGTTTCCGATTGGCAGGTTAATCACTTCCTATTGGCTGATCTGGAAAACTTTTCTCCCCCGTGGAAATGGCACATTCCTGTCTTTGTGGCTTCTCTGTTTACACACATTTTGCTACCTAATGTCAACACTTGCTAATGAATAAATCTATCACACCACTCACTGAAAATGAGGTCCTGGCCCAGCAGAAGGACTGCGGGCATCCCGTGAACAGATTTATCCTGGTGTCTCGGCAGGAGACCCAAGACAGCGTGGCCCTCCCTTTTTTAAAGAGGTTTCTGGGAGCATTTATTGACCCCCCCCCCCAAAAATCTTGACTCCTGGGGCCAAGGTAGTCGACTGGTCTTTCTCTCGGTTAAGGAACCCCTCCAGATGGGAAGGATACAGAAGTTAAAACCACAACAGGGCAGAGATGGCCCCTTGTAGGACGAACCTCACGAAAGAACCCTGGGTCTTGATGTCAAAGCCCAGTCAAGCTACATTCTTCGAGAAAACAGCGTTGTGACTTCAGTTAACGTTTGTTACAAATACAGAGAGCCGGTTATCTCCTCATTAATGACCATTTATCTGGTGTTTTGTAAATCGAAAGCAAAATATCACATGCTTTGCAGGCACTTATTAGACAGGCACCAGGCAGACAGCAACGCCTCCCGACTTCAGGGAGCGGTGGAGTCCCGGGAGGGCTGGCTGCCCAGCGCGGGCTTCGGTTACACCGTTCATTAAAGTATTTAATTTATGACAACGCCCCAGCAAAACTTTTAATTAGTGGGGGGAAAGGCCCAACAGCCAAAACTCATGAGGCGGAAGGACTTGTGGAATTCCGAGAGAGAAATGGGGCCCAACCCTTCACACGTCTCCTGCGCCCAGAATCTTGGCAAAACAAAAATGTCACAAGGGTTTGCATTCTTCAGGTACCAGTAGGTGGGCCTGAAGGCCGGAAGTTACAATCGGTACTTTTCGGCTGGTGAATCCTCCCCCCTGCCCCCACTGTGGAAGAAGGGGCTCTCTAGGGCACCGGGGCCCATCGGGGTTGGCACTCCCAAGCCCCAGTTTCGCTGCCCTGCTGCCCCCTGGCCCTGCGTGCTCCATTGGGTGAGCCCCTGCCCTGCCAGCCAGCAGGTGAAAGCAGAGGACCGCAACGGGGCTGGTACCAGTCTCAAATGGGCTTTTACTCTGGCTCCACGCCACCCAGTGACAAAGCAACAGGCAGGCAGAGCTATGCTAAAAACTTGTGTAGTCCCTACCAAGAATTCTGAGAAAACCCAGGGCCGAAGTAACTTGCAGGTGTCCTCTGCTCCAATCGCCTTGACTTCTTAAATTTTCTAACCTCTTACTTCCAACCAAAGCCTTCTCTGCACCTTTGAAACTGTCTTCCCTCTCATCGAATTATCCATTCGTCTCACTGACTCGCTGGCACAAAGTCTCTGCATTTTCCCATCAACCTGTCCTATTTGGCGCTCGAGACACTCTGCGTGGATCAAATTCCACGTGTTAAAGCTGAGCCAACTCTGGTGAGAGTGAAAATACATTAATAAAAAAAAAGGAACAAAACGTAAAGATCATCTAGGAACACCTCTGCAAAAAAGAAAATCTAGAGAGAGCGAGCCGCACGCACGCACGCACGCACGCACACACACACCTCCCTCTCCAGCCACAACAAAAACAGAAAAATCCACCAAACTTCCAACAGAGGAAGCCCAGAATCACCTCGGGGCAAGCCCAGCGCCTCCCCAAAGCCGCTGCCTCGACCTAAAAATCCGCGTTCTAGAGGCTCCGTTTCTAACTTAAGATAGGAAGGATATTTTTAAAACCATCTACTCACCAGTTGGTTTGAGAAAATCCATCGGGTATCTGGAGTAAGGAGGAGGGGGAGACTCTGGAATTAAAAAAGTAAGAGAAAATAAAGGCCGAGCCATGAGAAAGAGAGATAGAAACTTATGATAACAGAGGCATTCTTTTAGCCCAACTGTTTGTCTTAGCTGTGGGGGTTGGAGGCAGGGCCGCGAGGCGGTGATTGCCTTGATATTTAGCTGTCAGATAAACAAAAGAGGCCGCCTGGCGCCAGCCTCGCCGCTCCGCTCCTCCACGTCTGCAGCCGCCGCCGCCGCCGCGCTCCGCCGGCCCCGCTGGAAAGCACCGGCTCGGCCCGGGCCGCGCACTTCCCAGTTCACGGGGCGGGGAGTGACAAAGCCCCCTCCCTGTCCCCCGACCCTTCAGAGCCCGCTCCCAC